CACACACACACACACACACACACACACACACACACACACACAAACACACACCAAAAAAATCCTTAGTAACATAAACTAAGAATCACAACTTTAGGATAACAAGATTATCCTTACCCTTGTTATATGTATATTTGTAAGGAGAAACCTTTCATAGCTAGTAGTAAAAACTCTTTGGTGGAGTTTCATCTAACAGAGAAACTATTCAACTAAGGAAAACTGTTGTTGTTAACTATGCAAACTTAGCATGGCTTCAAACTTTTCAGTTAGGATTAAGTTATATTTAAGGTATTTTATCTTTAAAAAGCAAAATTATTAGTGTTTAAAGAGAGCATGTGATAGAGTGTTGATATTTTTATTTTCTTCCTTCAAAACACACAGGTGCAATGTCACAAATTCTGCAGGTGTTGATTTCTGATTTTAGAATTCTTATCTTCTGCAGAACATGGTTCAGTTTATATCTACCATGGAAATGAAGAATGCAACACATTTGGAGTCAAATAAATATAGCTTACTAGTGTCCTCTTTTGAGTACAAATGTCTTTTTTAGGCTTCTATTCACATATATTAGAATAAATTATTCTTGAAAAATACCAGAACCCATGAAAATATGTATATGACTTAAGTAATTATTTATAATTATTATTATATTATTATATATGTATTATAGATGCTTTAATGGAACCTTATTGTGTGGAAATTGGTCAAAATCTGTTATACATAGATAAAATTTGGTAGGTTGGATAATGTCTACTGAAAGACTAGAACATTATTATGTCCTAAACCCATTAATCTAGTTTTATGCATTGACTTTTGTTTCTTGGGTTGTTAAAATTTTGAGATGGGGAGAGTATCTTTGCTAATCTGATATCCTCAATGTGCCTAGAGTTCATTCTGAGAGGACAAAAACAGAAGAAAGACAGGACAATGAAAAGCACAGTTTAGATGGATACATTCTGGAAGTGGAGAAAATGACTACAAAGGAACCGGGATAGCTTCTAGACTAGGAAAAACAGAAAGTGAGTCTTTACTGGAGGCTCCCTGCCCCAAACACTCTGTCCTTTCAAACCTTTTTTAAATTTCGGAATTCCAGAACTAAACAAGTTCTTTCAAGGCCTTTGTGGTAGTTGTTACCACATCCATAGAATTCTCGTGCATACAGCTTAAAATACTCCAGTTTAAATAAAAAAGGAAGAATTCAACAAGCAAAATTAAATTGTATCACAGCCAGTCATGAAGAGTAAGAGACGTATACTACAAAGAGCATTTCAGGGTTTGATACTCCTGAGTCTAAACTACAGTGTGTTGCATTTCAGGTCCCAAGTGAAGATAGTTAACATCTCTGAGTCTGTTTGCTCATGGGGAATATGAGGAGAATACCACTATCAGCTGGTTGTGAATGAGAATTAATTAGGTACTATACGTACATCACTTTTCATTGTGGTTGTTAAATTCTACTGTTGATAGAAGACAGATGAGATACACTAGTAAGAGCATAGAAGTCCAGTGTACAAAGGGGTCACTCATTCCTGCCAACTCCTGCATTGTGTGCATGAGGATCAAGTGCACCTGGATGTTCCACCTTCTCCACAGAGACAAATTTTAACATGAAATTTCTCAATTTTTCAATACCAAGTTATTATTATTTTATGATTTTCATTCAAATAGAATGCATACTTCTCCCTTTTCTTTTTCTCCCTACATACCACCCTTATTCTCCCTACTCACAAACTGATAACCTCCTCTTTCTTTGATTATTATTGGTGTGTGCGTGTGTGTGTGTGTGTGTGTGTGTGTGTGTGTGTGTGTGTGTGTGTGTGTGTGTTAAAACAACCTGTTCAGTTCATTTTTCTTCTTTGTGTGTATATGGTTTCAGGGCAGATGACTTTGAAGAGGCTAATTCTCTCTTCTTCAGTGTTCACTGTTGCCTGTAGTTTTTGCCTATGGGATGGATCCTGTGAGATTTTCTCCCTTCTGTGATAGCATGTCTATTGACACTGTCACTATTCAGGTCTTGTTTATGCAGCCATTACTAAGAGAAACACTCTCACAGCAGACTTCTTCCTGTTACAGACCTTAAAGCCTTTCTGTCCTTTGCGATGTTCCCTTGAACCATAGATACAAGGGCTGTGCTGCAGAGTACCCACTAATACTGGACTCCCTGAGATCCAATGAACTTTGCATTTTGTCCAATTGTGGTTTGCGGTAGTAGTCTCCATCTGCTGTAGCTAGACGATTCCTTGATAAGAGGTGATAGCTACACTTATCTGTGAGTATAAGATTTAGAATGTACCTGGGAATTATGCTGGTTCATCAAAGTGATAGTACTACATTCTCTTTTAAGTTCCTTGGCCTAACTACCCTTAGGAGCTGGCTTTGTATCTAGAACCAGGCATGATTTCTCTCCGGTTAAGTGGACCTTAAGTCCTCTTAGACAGCTATTGGTTATCAACAAAATGTGAGTGCCACTATTTAACTTTTAAGAATATATTGCCATGCTGGTCATTTAATGATTCATGTGTCACAGCTTGGTAGGACTATTAATTGTTTCCCTCTCTTGGCTGCTTGCAGAGTACTTTCTATGGATGTACTAATGGAAACCAGAGGCAGAAAACAGGCTTTCAGGTTAAACCCAAGTCTTGGGTGTGGTGTCCTCAGCAATAGAGACTTACCTTCAACCTCTGAGAGGCATCCAAGAGTGTCAGTAATAGTCTATATTGCTTTGGAAGTCTTTTATACTACCCTGACCATCCACTCAAAAGGGCGTTTCTCACACCTGGTACTGGAAATTTTGCTTGTCTATAGATCTTGTGGGGAGCATTGTCAACCCAAATAGCATAATTTTATTAATGTTTGTAAAATATAAAATAATAAGATTCCTTGAGGTATTAAACAAACAACCTTGGTATTATTTTTTCTCCTCCCTCCTTCCCCTTCTACACTGACCTCTTTTGTCTTCCTCCCTGTTCTTCTGTTTTGCCCCTTCATATCACCTGTATCCTTCTATGCCCATCTCAATCCATCCACCATGACCACCACTATGGTCCCTTTATGCTTTCCTTGTTCCCATGGTTACTCCATGATATATACTCACATCTGTAGGATATTTGGGTCATTTCCTTTTCCTAGATATTGTGAAAAAAGCCACAATTAATCCTACTGAGCCAGAATCTGTGGGGTGCTGAATCTCTTAGGAATATATGTAGGAGTAGTATAACTGGGTTTATTTTTAGTTTTTTGAGGAATCTCCAGATTTCCAGAGTGATGACAACAGTTTGCTCTACCACCCACAGTAAATGTGGCTTCCTCTCTCTTAACACCCACCATCATTTGTCAGTTGTTTTGTTGATCTTCGCCATCCCAACTGATGAGATGAAATCTCAGAGTTTTAATTGGAATTTTCCTAATTGCTAAGTATCATAAACACTTTTTGACATATTTCTTAGATGTTTCTATTTCTTCTATTATGAATTCTCTCTTTAGATCCCTATCCCAATTTTTAATTAGGGTATTTGTTTCCTTGACTTTTTAAAATTATCTTTGTATATTCTGAATATTAATCCTCTGACAGTTGTATATGTATTAAGAAATCCTTCACATTTTGTGAGTCTCATCTTCACTGAACTGATTGCTTCCTTAGCTATACAGAAGTGTTTTTAGTTTTATGAGGCCCTATTTGTCAATTGTTGGCCTTAGCTCCTGGGCAAATAAAGTCCTATTCAGAAAGTCCTTTCCTAAACTTAATTATTGTGGAGTGCTGCCTATTTTTTTCTAGCAGTCTTAGTAGTTCAGATTTCAAATTGAAATTTCTGATGCATATAAAGTTAATTTTTGTGTAGGGCAGTAGATACAGGTCTAATTGTATTAATTATAGTTTGGTTTATTTTCTTTATGGAGTCGTGTGGCTGT